TCTGTCATCCCCCTTCACAGCAGGCTCAACCCGGGCACATACCCCCAGCGGGACCCCTCTGCCGCCGCCGGGGGTGCCCAGGAACGCGACCTGGTTTCAGTCTTGCACCAAGTCCATAACCCCACCATCAGGGGCCCTGGTGAAAAGGCAGACTGGGACTTAGACTCCGCGCCCTGGGAAAACCCCGTGCCGTGGACCACTAGAGATCCCGTTGGGTGGAGCCTGACAGTACCTTGCGGCCATGACTGAGCCTGGAAGGGGAACTTCCCCTCTGGACGACATCTGCCAACGGATGGAGACCCTTACACTGGGAATTAGGGGCCTACAGGAGGGTTATACGAAATTGGAGAGTCGCATGCAGACTTTAGCTACCTCTACCAGGGGGCCTGGGGAACCCGCACCAGAACCCCGTGTCCCCACACCGGAACGTTTTTCTGGAGACCAAGGGAGATTTCAGGCCTTTTGTAACTCCTGTCAGTTATACTTTGACCTCCAGCCCCCCCGGACCTTTTCCTCCGAATCGGTGAGGGTAGGGTTCATTATTTCCCTACTACAGGGAGGACCCCAGGACTGGGCCCACCGGCTCCGAGAGAATCGAGACCCCCTGTTAAAGTCGGTAACGGTATTTTTTGAGGCTATGGCCCTCTTGTATGACGACCCCCTGCGCACCGCAACGGCCGAGAGGGCCCTATATACGCTCAGGCAGGGTCACCGGACAGTGGAGGAATATGCCGCCGACTTCAGGCGTTGGCGTAGTGACTGCCAATGGAACGAGGCGGCTCTGCACCACCAGTTCCGCGTAGGGTTAGCTGAATCCCTGAAGGACGAATTGGCCCGAATAGACATACCTAGCACTTTGGAGGCCTTAATAGCTTTGACTATACAAATTGACCGCCGGTTGCGGGAGCGCAGGCAGGAAAGGGGCAACCAAGGACGAGGCCCAACGGGAACACCTCCTCAGGCTTCAACCCTGTTCCAGCCGGCAAGCCATAATCAGGATGCTATGGATACACCCGAAACCGGTCAATCGGGAAGAATCCGGCCGACACTAACACCCGAGGAACGCCAGAGGCGTCTTGCCTACCATCTCTGCCTCTACTGTGGGGGAGCAGGCCATATGGTATGTACCTGTCCAGCCAAGAGGGGTAAGTGCTCCGCTAGTTTTTTCTCTACGGTATCTTCTAACAGTGTGGGCAACACTAGTTACCTAGCGGTACCTGTGTCACTTCAGCTACCAGGGAGAACAGTAGTGACCACGGCTATTGTGGATTCTGGGGGCGTGTAGTTGCTTCATAGATTTAGACTTTGCAGTTCAGCAACAAATTCCTCTACAAACCAAGGAGGTGGGATTGAATAGTTTTCTAGCCGATGGTCACGCATTAAGTCAGGGGTGGTGGACCACGAGACCCCACCTATCCGTACTACCGTATCGACCATCACGGGGAACTCCTTCGGTTGGACGCCATAGCATCCCCATTATTTCCCATTATTTGGGGCTCCCGTGGTTACGTGCCCATAATCCCCCAGGTGGACTGGAAAGCAGGTTCTATCCAGTTCCTCTCCACATACTGCCAGCAGCACTGCCTCCCTAAGATCTCCCCGATACCGCCGACCGTGTTGTGTCTAGAGACAGATGCGGAGCTGGCGCGAGTCATTCCTTCAGTCTACCATAATTTTCTGGATGTGTTTAGCAAGCGGGGGGCGGACTCTCTCCCCCCGCACCGAGCTTTTGACTGCCCAATTGATCTCCTCCCAGGGTCGGAAATCCCATTTGGCGGATATTCCCCTTGTCCGAACGGGAGTTAGGGGTGCTAAAGGAATATATAGATGAAAACCTCCATAAGGGTTTATTAGACCCTCCACGTTGCCAGCCGGGGCGGGCATTTTCTTTGTGGAGAAAAAGGACAAGTCCCTCCGGCCCTGCGTAGATTACCGGGACTTGAATAAGGTCACAGTAAAAAACCGTTACCCGCTACCACTGGTCCCCGAACTTTTTCAGAGGCTGAAGTCTGCATCTGTCTTCACTAAAACTAGACTTGAGAGGTGCCTATAATTAGTCCGTATCAGAGAGGGGGACGAGTTTGGAAGACAGCATTCCGTACCAGATTCGGGCACTATGAATATTTGGTTTATGCCCTTCGGGCCTATGCACAACGCCCCTGCACACCTTCCAGCATTTCATAAACGATGTGTTCAGGGACTACCTAGATTATCTTCGTCATCGTATACCTAGACGATATCCTTTGTTTTTTCCCCAACCTTGGAGGACCATAGAGGTCACGTGAGGCGCGTGTTGGAACGGCTCCGCCAACACAGCTTATATGCCAAGGCAGACAAATGCTGCTTTGAACAAAGTAGTATTTCGTTTCTGGGTCTAACCATCTCTCCCACGGGAATAGCCATGGATCCCCAAAAGGTTTCGGCCATTTTAGACTGGCCAGCGCCCACCGACAAGAAAGCGGTCCAACGTTTCATCGGCTTTGCTAACTTTTACAGAAAGTTCATTAAGAACTTTTCAGGCCTAGTGTCCCCGATCACCCAGCTGACCAGGCAGGGGGTTCGCTTCCAATGGACACCTGAGGCACAAAGGGCTTTCGAAGCCTTAAAGGAGTTGTTTACGGCAGCTCCTATTTTGAGCCACCCTGATTCGTCCTTGCCATATGTCTTGGAGGTGGACGCATCCGAGAATGCGGTCGGGGCGATCCTGTCCCAGAGGAAGGGCATCAAAGAGCTCATGCACCCGGTGGCTTTCTTCTCCAGGAAACTAACTCCTGCGGAAAGGAATTATGATATCGGGGATCGGGAGCTCTTGGCAATCAAGGTGGCACTAGAGGAATGGAGATACTTGTTAGAGGAGCGGTACACCCAATATTGATTTTTACGGATCATAAAAACTTAGAATATCTGAGGACAGCTAAACGTTTGAGGCCACGTCAAGCCAGGTGGGCGCTGTTCTTTTCACGGTTCTTTTTCCACATAACCTATCGGCCAGGGTCTAAGAACACAAAACCAGACGCACTCTCCCGCATGTTTGGGGATCCCGAGGAGAATCCCAGGCCAGACACTATCCTGACCCCAGGGAATTTCCTAGCCCTCCAATCGGAGCTCCATTCGCAACTGCAGACCACGTCCGTAGGGATGCAAGGCCCACACCCGGTGTCCCCTTATTAAATAGGGAAGGACTTTTCTGGAAGGAGGATCTGATTGTGGTCCCTGAGGAGGCCCGTACCTTGGTATTAGGATACTGCCACGATCACACCCGCTGGCCGGGCACTTTGGGGTACGTAAGACCTTGGAACTGCTGCAGCGTACTTTCTGGTGGCCTAATATGGCCAGAGAGTGCGAAACCTACATAAAGACTTGTCCCGTTTGTCAGAGAAACAAACCCACCAGGAACAAAGCTTGGGGTCTCTTGCGCCCATTACCCATACCCGACAGGCCATGGACCATGATTTCCATTGATTTTATCGTGGAACTTCCACCCTCTCAGGACCACACAGCAATCTTCGTGATTGTGGACCGCCTGTCCAAGATGGTCCATTTTGTACCTTTAAAGGACACACCTACGGCCCTTGAAACAGCACGTGTGTTTATTAAGGAAGTAGTAAGACTCCACGGAATTCCCAGGGACATTGTATCTGACAGAGGGGTTCAGTTTACGTCCAGGTTCTGGAAAGCTCTATGTGAAACCCTGGGGATTAAGTTATCGTTCTCTTCTGCTTATCACCCACAGACCAATGGCCAGACGGAGCGTACAAACCAGACCCTAGAGCAGTACCTCAGGTGCTATTCCACCTTCCTCCAAGATGACTGGGTTACTCTCCTGCCGCTTGCGGAATTCGCATATAATAATGCGAGTCACTCTGCTACTAGACAGTCCCCCCGTTTTTCGCAAACTATGGGTTCCACCCTGTATTCCTGCCAGATCTAATCCCAGAGGTCGCAGTCCCAGCCCACGCAGGATATGTTGACCTTTCTGTCAACCAATAGCAAGGTATTGCAGGAAGCAATGGCAAAGGCCCAGGATGACAACAAGAGGGCGTTTGATAGGAAGAGAAGAGGGGAATTGAGTTTGCGGCCAGAGGACCAGGTTTGGTTGTCCACCGCAAATTTAAAAATGTCCTGCCCTTCAAAGAAATTGGCTCCCAAGTTCTTGGGGCCTTTCCGGGTCAAACGTAAGGTCAACGAGGTGGCATACGAGCTGGCACTGCCCGACTCTATGAAGGTTCATCCGGTCTTCCATGTGTCCCTGTTGAAACCGGCAACTCCAGACCCCTTCCCGGATCGAAGGTCTAAGCCACCGGAGGCAGTAGACGTGGATGGGGAGGAGGAATTTGAAGTTGAAGCTATCTTAGATTGCAGGAAGAGGGGAGGCCAAACTCAGTTTCTGGTTAAATGGAAAGGATATGGGGCGGAGGAGAATTCATGGGAGCCGGCCCAAAATGGTGCACGCCCCAAGGCTTGTGCGGGAATTTTTTCGGAACCAGCCGTTGAGTAGGGGTCGGTTGGGAATCCGGAGGTTGCCCGTAGGGGGGGGGCAATGTCAGGGATCCCGGGTCCTCGGCGGCACGCGCATGCGCAGACCGCCGATCCGTCCCAGCCGGCGAGCGCAGAATCCTCGGCGATCGCGGCGGCCGCGCATGCGCAGTAGCGATCGCGGCCGCACCAATGGGAGAGCAGGGGCCCTATTTAAAGCTGCCTGTGCATCTCCAAGTTGCCGCAAGGTCTTGTTCCAGTCCTGTAAGTACGCTTCCTAGTTGCCAAACTCTGCCTGTTCTGACTTATGCTTACCTTCTCCTGCTCTGACCCCGGCTCGTCCCTGACCATCCTTCTGCCTGACCCTCGGTACCTCGTTGCCCGCTACCTGTTGAACCTGGCTTGTGACCCCGACTATTCTCCGCTTACTCCCCCTGTACCACGCTGCCCCGCACAATTCCGACCCGGCTAGTCTGACCTCGTCCACTCCTGACAGTTGCCCATCCATCCCGCTCGGATCGGGATCTGTCATCCCATCCATCCCGCTCAGATCAGGATCTGTCATCCCCTTCACAGCAGGCTCAACCCGGGCACATACCCCCAGCGGGACCCCTCTGCCGCCCGCCGGGGTGCCCAGGAACGCGACCTGGTTTCAGTCTTGCACCAAGTCCATCCCCACCATCAGGGGCCCTGGTGAAAAGGCAGACTGGGACTTAGACTCCGCGCCCTGGGAAACCCCGTGCCGTGGACCACTAGAGATCCCGTTGGGTGGAGCCTGACAGTGGCGATGGAGACAGCAGCAATGGGAGGCCGTACAGGGACCCATGAGAGACTCTGGACCTGGCAGCAGCATGAGGAGGCGGTACAGGGGCCCATGGCAGATTACGGGCCTGGCAGCAGCAATGGGAGGCCCGTATCTCTGCCAGCACCCTATGACAAAATGGAACACACCCAGCAGTGTGAGGAGACCTGAAAGTGGCACATGGCAGAGTGTGGCGATGGAGACAGCAGCAATGGGAGGGCCGTACAGGGACCCATGAGAGACTCTGGACCTGGCAGCAGCATGAGGAGGCGGTACAGGGGCCCATGGCAGATTACGGGCCTGGCAGCAGCAATGGGAGGCCCGTAATCTGCCAGCACCCTATGACAAAATGGAACACACCAGCAGTGTGAGGAGACCTGAAAGTGGCACATGGCAGAGTGTGGCGATAGAGACAGCAGCAATGGGAGGCCGTACAGGGACCCATGAGAGACTCTGGACCTGGCAGCAGCATGAGGAGGCGGTACAGGGGCCCATGGCAGATTACGGGCCTGGCAGCAGCAATGGGAGGCCCGTAATCTGCCAGCACCCTATGACAAAATGGAACACACCAGCAGTGTGAGGAGACCTGAAAGTGGCACATGGCAGAGTGTGGCGATGGAGACAGCAGCAATGGGAGGCCGTACAGGGACCCATGAGAGACTCTGGACCTGGCAGCAGCATGAGGAGGCGGTACAGGGGCCCATGACAGATTACGGGCCTGGCAGCAGCATGAGGAGTCGGTACGGGGGCCCATGGCAGATTACGGGCCTGGCAGCAGCAATGGGAGGCCCGTAATCTGCCAGCACCCTATGACAAAATGGAACCCACCAGCAGTGTGAGGAGACCTGAAAGTGGCACATGGCAGAGTGTGGCGATGGAGACAGCAGCAATGGGAGGCCGTACAGGGACCCATGAGACACTCTGGACCTGGCAGCAGCATGAGGAGGCGGTACAGGGGCCCATGACAGATTACGGGCCTGGCAGCAGCATGAGGAGTCGGTACGGGGGCCCATGGCAGATTACGGGCCTGGCAGCAGCAATGGGAGGCCCGTAATCTGCCAGCACCCTATGACAAAATGGAACCCACCAGCAGTGTGAGGAGACTTGAAAGTGGCACATGGCAGAGTTAACATGTTTGGGGCATGATTCATGGCGGATTTAGTCAGTTGTGTCAGGAACTGGTGGTTTGAAATCCAGACTAATCCACGCCTGATTCATTTTCACAAACGTGAGTCTCTCCACACTTTGGGTGGACAGTCGTGTCCTCCGCGGAGTTACAATACCTCCTGCCGCACTAAACACGCGCTCCGATGCCACGCTACTGGCCGGGCATGACAGCCTTTCAAGGGCAAATTCAGCTAGTTGGGGCCAAAGGTCAAGTTTCGTTGCCCAGTAGTCAAGGGGATTGTCTACCTCGGTTGGCAGGGTGCTGTCCAAGTAGGCCCAAGCCTGTTGTTTGAGGTCCTGCTCCAGGTCCACCTGATGCTGCTGCTGCTGCTGCTGCGGCTGGTTAGTAGTTTCCTCACTGCGCAGGTGAAGAAAGCTACTCATCATCGACTGCAGACTGAGGCAGCCGCTGCTGGTGGAGCTGCCACTGCTCCTACCACCCCACCCCTCCCCTGCTGCCATGGCAGCGGAACGCAAGCGCACAGGGCCCACAGTGTCTGAGGATGGACGTTGGCGCAGAAAGGCAGAGACCAACTGACTACATAGGTGGTTTTTATAGTACGTTATTTTGGCCTCCCTCTCAGCAGGTGTGAAAAAGGCCACCATTTTTGAACGGTAGCGAGGGTCCAACAAGGTGGACAGCCAAAAGTCATCCCTCTGTCTGATGGTTATTATTCGGCTGTCGCTACGCAAGCAAGCGAGCATGCTATGGGCCATTTGTGCCAAGGAATGCGAGGGACTCCCTGCCTCCATCTCCACAGCATACTGCCACGGTGCGTCTGGGTCCTCTGTCTCCTCCTCCTCCTCTACCAGATGCTCCTGCTCCTCCACTCCTGTCCGCTGAGTGGAAAAACCACCCATTTCACTCAATAATTCCTGAGCACCAATGTCCTCCTCTACCTCCTCCTCTTCTTCCTGTCCTGCCCCCACAGGGGTCATGTGGCGTTGAGATCTGTGTGCCACGTCTACCGCACCCTGACCAGCCATTGTTAACAGCATTTGTTCCAGGATGTGCAACAGAGGAATGACGTCGTTCATCCCATAGTCCTGCCGACTCACGAATAGCGTGGCCTCCTCAAAGGGCCTGAGCAAGCGGCAGGTGTCACGCATGAGCTGCCAATGGCTGACATCGAAGTTACACAGGGAGTACCTTTATCCGCTTGTAACATCAGGATATCGGTGATGGCCTTTCGCTGTTTGTAAAGGCGGTCTAACATGTGTAGGGGTTGAATTCCACCTTGTTGCAACGTCGCAGATCAGGCGATGCTGTGGAATTCCGTTCTGCCGCTGCAGCTCAAGGAGGGTGTGCTTTGCGGTGTAGGAATGGGCTGAAATGCATGCAAAGTTTACGTGACATTTTAAGGATGTCTTGCAGTGGGATGGTGGATTTTAGGAACCGCTTGACAACCAGATTGAACACGTGAGCCATGCATGGCGCATGGCACAACCTTCCTTGACGCAGAGCAGACACCATGTTCTTTCCGTTGTCGGTCAACATGGTTCCGATTTTCAGTTTGCGCGGAGACAGCCATCTGTCGATTTCTCTGTTCATTACACTCAGAAGTTCCTCCCCTGTGTGACTACGTTCGCCAAGGCATACCAGGTGCAGCACAGCGTGACACCGTTGCGCCCTGCACATGTGATATGCCGGTCGGGTAATGGGACTTGGCACGGGGGTGGCGGCTGAGGACACGGCGGAAGAAGAGGTGGTAGAGGCGGACATCTTTTGTGGACCAAGGACGTGCAAACGTGGAGGCAAAAGCGGCGTGACCTGTCCAAGTTGCTGGTGCGGCTGTGCCGGCACCATGTTCACCAGTGGGCCGTAAATGACATGTACTGTCCCTGACCGTAGTTACAGCTCCACACGTCGGCGCTGCCGTGCACTTTGGCAGAGACCGACATGCTCAAGACTGGCCCACCATCTCTTCTACATGTGAATGCAGGGCTGGCACTGCCTTTTTGGCGAAGAAATGCCGGCTTGGCACTCCTCCACCGCGGCGCGGCACAAGCCATCATTTCTCGGAAAGGTGCTGAGTCCACCACTTGGAAAGGGAGGGACTGCAGCACCAGCAACTTCGACAGGAGGAGGACGTTCAGCTTCTGCACCGTCGGGTGCGTGCTCGCAAACTGTTGTCTCTTGGAAACGGATTCCAAGACAAAAGACTGCTGACGGAATCCGTGAAGAGGAGTAGCAGGAGAAAGGAGCATCTGAACGAGCGGAAGATGCCAACGAGCGACAACTCCCCTCAGCAGAGGTGTTGGAGCCTTGACTGGCTGATAGAGGGCGATTGACGTCGGGTGACGGAGCAAGTAACGGAGCGGGTGATGGAGCGGGGGGCTGGGGCAGGCAGAACCGCCGTATCTTTATCACGGTTTTCCCAGGCCACCAAATGGCGACGCTGCATATGCTGACGCAACGCTGTAGTCCCCAACATGGGCCCCCTGGCCACGCTTGACTTTCTGGCCACATAGTCGACATACGGCTATGTTTACTTCCTCGGGCGGCTTGACGAAAAATTGCCACACCGCCGAGTAGGAAACTTTGCCCCCGCTACTCCTCACTGGCTGACTGCTACTTCCTCCGTGCACACCGGCACCACTACTGGCCGTGGTGGTAGGCTGCAGTGGAGCTGGTGCTCTACTCCGTGGCCGTTTGCCTCCACTGACACTGCTGCGACCCTGCTGCCTCCTGGGCAACCCACCGACTGTTTTGCTCGCTGCCAAGCTGGCACCCTCTTCTCCTGATGATGCGGAAGCAATAGCCTGATGACGACGAGGCTGCCAAGTGCGATCAGCCTCATCATCATCAATTAGGGTCTCCGCGTCACTACTAGCCCCCTCGGCTGCGTGTGGGTCAGGAGACAGACCTGTCTCTAGACCGGCTACCGAGCCACTCTCCTCGCCAGTACTTCTTCGCCTGGCTGCTGAAGAGGCGGATGTCTCCCCCCGTTCCTGACCGCCCTCTGTTAGCTCTTCCTCACTGTACAGTGGGGCTGAGCCCACAGCATGCGATACTTCGCTTGGTGAGGGAACACCAAAGGACAGGGACAGGTAGAGGACACGTGATTTCAGTGGGCTTGCTCCCGGGCCATGCCAACTAACGGTTGTGTCTGACGTACCCACCGACCGTTGGCTGTAGGTGTCAGAGGTGACCTGGGAAGAGGAAGACGACCGAGCCAACCAATCGATGACGGCAGGGTTGTTGGTGGAGACACGACCGCTGGATGACACACCGGGAGCACTGGCCTCTGGCTGCGACTAGTGCTGCCTCGACCCCTTCCTCTGCTGCCATGTCTGCTCGCTCCTAAAACATTGCCTCCTCTGCCACTCCTCTGCTTGTTGTCTGACATACTCTTAATTCAACGATTCTGTGTCCCTGAGTAACAATTCTGTGTCTGTCCCTGAGTAACAATTCTGTGTCCCTGAGTAACAATTCTGTGTCCCTCAGTAACAATTCTGTGTCCCTCAGTAACAATTCTGTGTCCCAGAGTAACAATTCTGTGTCCCTCAGTAACAATTCTGTGTCTGTCCCTGAGTAACAATTCTGTGTCCCTGAGTAACAATTCTGTGTCCCTCAGTAACAATTCTGTGTCCCTCAGTAACAATTCTGTGTCTGTCCCTGAGTAACAATTCTGTGTCCCTGAGTAACAATTCTGTGTCCCAGAGTAACAATTCTGTGTCCCAGAGTAACAATTCTGTGTCCCTCAGTAACAATTCTGTGTCCCTCAGTAACAATTCTGTGTCCCTCAGTAACAATTCTGTGTCTGTCCCTGAGTAACAATTCTGTGTCCCTCAGTAACAATTCTGTGTCTGTCCCTGAGTAACAATTCTGTGTCCCTGAGTAACAATTCTGTGTCCCTCAGTACACATTCTGTGTCCCTCAGTAACAATTCTGTGTCTGTCCCTGAGTAACAATTCTGTGTCCCTGAGTAACAATTCTGTGTCCCTCAGTAACAATTCTGTGTCCCTCAGTAACAATTCTGTGTCTGTCCCTGAGTAACAATTCTGTGTCCCTGAGTAACAATTCTGTGTCCCTGAGTAACAATTCTGTGTCCCTCAGTAAACAATTCTGTGTCCCTCAGTAACAATTCTGTGTCTGTCCCCTGAGTAACAATTCTG